ACACACACACACACACACGGCGTGAGGAAATGTGCCCTTGGAAAATGGCTACAGGTGGAAGAGCTGGCGCAAGAGTCAGCACCTGTGCCCAGCCTGACGAGAGGGTTGGTCTGCAGAAGGGCCGAGATGAGGGCTTGGGCCTCCTCAGGTAAGGCATCATCACCATCGGGCCAAACCATATTATCTGACAAGATACGTATGTGCACAGCAGATAATCTGAATAAAATACAAATATAAAAGTAAAAAGGGCCATCTGTCAAACACCTCTAGGGGGTTTCGGTGGAAATACATTGGCTTTTTAAAAAAAAATTTTTTTCTTAATTGTACTGAATCCCTGCTAATCGGGGGCGACAAATTGAGTGGAAAATTGATTGGAAATCACTAAAATAACTTGGACTGAGCTGATGGGGATAGTATCTTCTCACCAGTGATGACCTGTCCAAATAGCTCCTCAGGAGTGTCTCCAAAGAAAGGCACACAGCCCACAAGGAACTCATAGAGGATGATGCCCATCGCCCACCAATCCACCGGCTTGCCATAGCCCTGACGGAGAATCACCTCTGGGGCGATGTACTCAGGGGTCCCGCACACCTGAGGGGCGAAGAAGGTGGTAAAAAAAGATGGAGCAAAGAAAAAAAAATCGATGGATAGTCTGAGTACAAAATCTAGCTTGGTAAATTCCTATGCGGAAGGCAAATAGTTGCCAGGGGGACTCATGCATCACCCTGACTGATTACGACTACAATCATTTAAAAAGAGTATAAACAATAGCTATAATGGGATTGCCACAAAGATGGAAAGCATCATGCTTCGCTGGTTCAGGAAGCATCATTTTTGTGAAGATGAATGACTTTGCAGGAAAACTCGGCAGGGTGGGATGCACGACTGTAAAAGATGGAATGATTCCTTGATTGCCATTTGCCCCTGCATCAATCCAACATCCTGATTTTTTTTTACTCATGATTTCATCTCATTGTCCCGCTCGTGAAGGAGACCCGGAGAAAAGTACCTGCTTATCAAGGAACTCTCTTGCGTCTTTCTCAATGTGTCCTTCGTACAGATTGGTGGTGAGGCTCATCAGGCCCATTTTGGACAAGCCAAAGTCTGTCAACTTGATGTGGCCCATGGAGGTGATTAACAGACTACAATAGGAGAGACAATAGCATGTGTCAAAAGACAGCCATACAATGCAGTGACTCGTATCTCCGTAAATATAGCTTTTGACCAGTGCTACTGCCCAATATGAATAATTATTGCAACCAACAAAAATTATAGAAATAAGCACCATTGTCATGGATTGCTAGTGTGCACGAATAACAAACTACTTTTAAATGCTGACAAATATAGTAGCGAAACCATAGAAGATTTTTCATTTTAGTTCATATTCTTCTGACATTTGATGCAGCAGGTGGATTGTGGCTGAACCAAATTGGATTGTTTGGCCTTGGCAGAGGTCTGCGTGTGATTGAGTGCCATTTCAAGTATCCAATTTGCTGCTTTTTTTTTTTCTTTGGTTCGGCCACTGATGTCTTTTTAGCCGTTGAATAATACAATGTAGATGCTTGAACCCATCGTTCTATTTTTGTCAGTAAAGTTTTCTGGTAACCTTCATTTGGATTAAACCTCTCAAGTGGCCTGACTGCAAGACGACGACATTCCCATTGTCATTAAGTCACAACCCTACTGAACAGAAGCACTTTAATTTGGCAAAAATAAATCATAAAAAAAATATATTGTCCCTAAATATATATGTACAAAGTTCCTCTCAGAGCACTATATGTGTAAAACAATCAATGCATATAAAATAACAGACAAAATTTCAAATCAATCACTTTTCACACTTCACGTTCAAGGTGAAATGATTAATCGAAAAATCGACAACAAATCGATTATCAAATTAATCCACAATTATTTTTGATAATCGAGGAATCATTTTGATACCTAATTTAAAATAGTCCAAATGCTTTGGCATTTCAGCTTCTCAACAGTAAATATTGTTGGATGTTCGTAGTCCTCCATGAAAGACGACTGATTGTATTTGTGTTTAATCAAAATAAAACATTTGCTTCTGATCCGTTCTGGAGTGCTCAACCCAGCAGCAGCGGCAACCTAACCGCATACTCCTGGCAGTTAACTATGTTAGTGCCATTTTGACGTTATTGTAGAACCTGTTGTGTGGCGAGAGACAGGGCCTGGCTGAGAGACCAAAACCGATCTCGAGAACTACAACGCTACTTTGTTTCTGTCGAGGGTATCGCCTTGTGTGTTTGGTTTTTGTTTCACGACCACATTTTCCACATAGCTGACATGAAAGATCATTGAGGACTGACTTGTCTGGCTTCAGGTCTCTGTGAACGATGCCGTAGTTGTGCAAGTACTCCAGGGCCAGAACGGTCTCAGCAAAGTACATCCTTGCGAGCTCCAAAGGAAGAGCCCCAATGTTCTTCAGCAAGGTGGCGCAGTCACCGCCTGCACACATACACAGTCACAGCATTGTTGATAAATTTGACATGGAAAACACCCAAGGAGTAAATGGAAATGTTTCAGTGTGCAGTACAGATGTCAAGAATCTGATGAAGACTTGTTGCTGTCGAATGACGCTGAAATGAGGCTAATAGTTAGTGGTTCGGGAACAAACACATAGTCATTAAAACCTCAGTAGCTGAGGGCACTTATTTCAAAAGAAGATGGGTGTTTTGTCCTGATGTAACGTCCGCTATTTCCTGATTGGTTCATTTCGCTGTCAGTTTGCTCAGGTTTGCCCCGCCTCAGAAATGCGCTTGAGTTGACTGTGACCAGACTCAATCGTTGGCAAAGCAATGTGTCTGGATTTCCAGACTAGCCATAAATATCCAAACGAGCATGGCGGGGATGTGAAAACTCCACATAGGAAGGCCGCAGCCCAGAGTCGCACTTGGAACCTCAGAACTGTGAGGTGGATGTGCTAACAACTCTTCCACCATGCCATCAGTTTAGTGTAATTACAGTTGAAAACGGAAGTAGCATGCAGGAAAACAAAATGGCCATCTATTGACCTTACCCTCGACGTACTCCAGCACCATGCACAAGTGCCTGCGCGTCTCAAAGGAACAAAACATGGAAACAACGAAGGGGTTCTCTGCAAAGGTGAGAATGTCCCTCTCCACAAAGGCCTGCTGTATTTGGTTCCTCAAGATCAGATTCTGCTTGTTGATCTTCTTCATGGCAAAGCGCTGCCGGGTCTCCCTGTGGCGCACCAGATACACGGCCCTGGACAGACAGTGAGATTGACAACAGACAACTAAGAAACAAACATATAACCGTGTGTCTTTAAACCAAGGACCAGATTTCAAATCCTACTTTAGAAATGAGAATTGCTGTCACTTCAACAGTCAATAAATTAAAAACATGCGCCAAGGTTCAAGAGTCATTCTCAATACGCAGCACTTAATTTCTATATATATTCTATATATATATGCCAAGTATCCATTTTCAATTGATTCATTGTACAGCATTCCTAGGAAATCACAATGTCCAATCAGGGCTGTGCTATTTTGAGGAGGCCACAGGCGACTCAGGTTGTCATTGTGGGCTGCCTGTGGGCACCGTGTTGCTAATCCAGCCCCAATGTGAACTGTTAATATTCGTCGAATCTAGTCGAGTGCTTTACCCGTAAGCGCCGTTGCTGATGAGTTTGATGCTCTGAAAGTCTTCCTCACTTGGTGGTTTGATGACTCTCCCCTTACCCTGGCAACGGAGACGAAAACATTTTGCACTTGACCCTTTCAGGCACAGCGGTTACTGCAGTGACAGCTTATCATGTCATCCGGTTACGGGTTATCATTATTGGTACATGAAAGGGTTAAAAATGAGAATCAATATTGCTTTTACAATTTGATCACGATCGGAATTGCGATTGGTCAGCCTTGGTGGAGGAGTGTGTTGATGTGCTAGATTATACACGGTGAAGGACGTGTGGACAAGCGCATTTTGTAAGCTTTGATTGTGCGTTACTGTATTTCATTTCTTCGGCTACCTCGGTTGAGTCATCCGTCTCTGGCGTGTGCGGACCTTCGCTGTCGTAGCTGTCAAGACTCACGATATCTGGGGGGGGGGGGGCAAACACGATAGTGAACAAGACGAAAACAGAAGGAAAATGCTTTGTTTTAGCTAAAGCGGCGGGCGTCTCACGTCACAATGTGGATGTCTACGGGCAAAATGTGATTCCGTTTCAGAGCAATGTAGCCAAATGTGTCACATGAAGAAAACAGTATAAAGAAGACCGCTCCTATTAATTTCCTTCAGCGCTGCCTCCCACTCGTCCCGTTCTTTGCCAGCAGAAATGTACCGTGCGTGACAGTCGCTGGAGAACACTGATTATTATTTGAATGCTTCGTTTAAAGCACACAAAAACACACGAAGGATGCCAAAGAGCATTTGACGGAACAGAGGACCATCAATTGTGTCCATTTGGGTTTGATGTGGCGCACGCAGCCTTCAATCGCGTGCCAAGAAAAAGAAAGTGGGAGAAGCGATGTGGTTGAAATAGCGCGCCCACATGCGAAGCGGCAACAATCGTCTTATCTTGAGCAGAATTCATCAGAAAGAAGCCAAATATTTCTCATGGATTTACAAAGGAGTCATTCCAGGCTATTTAGCCCATCGTTTTAATGAACAGCCTGCCTTGGTTCAGACCCGAGCCCATCTGACAGGTGTTAATTAAAGGTTTGGAGGCGGTGATGGTGGCGCTGGAGTCGCGATGAATAATTAGAGAGGCTGATGCTGCCACACGTCTACCCGGCACAACGCCTGCAGCAGCAGTAGTTTTCATTCCAGATGTCACATATTGTCTCATCTAGAATGTCAAAAAATGTCTCATTAATATGGCATAAGACTAAAGCTTTGGTGCACATGTAATAGAATATATAATGGAATATAAATATATAAAATGGAACGCAGTTGTCATAGCTTTCCACGGGATGCTGCAGTGTATCAGAGGGAACTTTGTCATGTTTTGGAAATTTGCTACAAAATTGAAGTTACAAGTAACTGTTTTGATATGTTCCCCTGGTTCAGTGAATATTTATCTCCAATGGCGTGACAGATGGAATGGGGCAAAGTAGCAAGCATAGCTTTGTCATGTACATCCATTTAGAAGTTGTTTTTTTTTTGCATAACACCAATACTATATGCATGTGAGTTGTGGGGAATATTCTTCTCCACCGGGGGTCGCCATCCTCGCGGTCTGCAGTAGAGTGTGAGTGACTGAATGCGTGTGACTAAAAGATGAGGCCTGGCCTGTTGAGTGACGTGGGACGAACAGAATCAAGAGTTGAAAGTTGGCGGGCTGCTAACTGGTTCACCCTTAGCCATTCTGCACATTAAGTGACGCTGCATCATTAGGTCACGTATGAAAATGTAGTTGCATTTATTTGGGTACTTTTGTTCAATACTGCAATTGAAAGCGCACCGGCAGCTGTTTCCATCCTTTTTAAGGGTGGAGGGATTACACGAGGTTTTAACTATTGGTGGTGCGCTATATAAAATTAGCTAATGTTTTTTTTCTTTTACTGTGGTCATGACAGTTGTACTTTGCAATAGGCCCATTGCACTTTCGCTTATTTTATTAACTATATGATTTCAAGGTGTGAGGTGATGTCAAGGATTGTTTATCTAGGTGTCCAACCCTGGTCTTTGAGGGCCCCTATCCAGCATGGTTTGGATGCCTTCTTCCTCCAACCGACCTGATTCAAATGATCAGGATCAATGTCAGGTTTCTCTGAACTTGCTGATGAGTCGATCATTTAAATCAGGTGTGTTTAAGGAGATAGACATCTAAAACATGCTGAATAGGGGCCCTTGACACTTGTAAACTTGTCGTCTGTGAGTTCATATTTTAGGAGAAGCCAATGTCTGCAGGCAATAATTACAACAAAATCTTTTTGGTGGGAACAAAAACATTTTTCCCTCCCACTCACCTTCCAGGGGGTCCCTGGTGAGCCCGAGCTGGCTGATGATATATCGAGGGATGTCTGCCTTCATCAACTGGCCCTCCTTGGCGTGGTCCTCCGCAGCCTCCAACAGATGGTAGAACTCTTCCGGATTAAATTCCTGTTACGAGAGCACAAAGACCGACCAGCTTCAAAATGTGCCAGAACGGATGCGCAGAAATAAAAGCAGATTGGATTCATGGGTAAACTGTTAAAATTCTACCTTGCTATCTTGTGTGTGTGTGTGTGTGTGTGTGTGTGTGTGTGTGTGTGTGTGTGTGTGTGTGTGCGTGTGAGAGACCCAAAAATGTCTCCAAACACATTTATATAGGTGTGAAAGACAATTTACACATTCCCCAAGTGTTTATATCCCCTAAAAGATGGCAAAGGAAAATGACGGGGACTTTCTGAAAACATCATTCATGACTAAATACTAACAGACAGCAAAAATATAAGATATTCATATCTTCATACTGTACATCCACACTTTTTGTGTGGATGTACAGTACATACTGTTGTGATCCTTGAGTGCACATTTTTTGCCATTTACCGCAACGTAACCAGCAAGTCCAAAAGTGCAAGACGAATTACAGTCATAACATGCACAAAAAAACAATGAGACCGTGTTGTACAACAGCCAACTTTAAATTACTTTTCTAAACCTATCCCTTTTTCCTGTTTTGACCTGTGGGAATCACATAGTGATTTTGATTACAAGGCAGAGCCGGGGGGGCCTGCCGGGATCATTTCCTCCTGTGTTCTCACGTATCCGACACACCCCCACGTCCACCCCCTCTTGACCAAATAGAAAAGAAACAGCAGAAGAAGGATTACTCTCCTTCCCTGATGGCTCGCTTTCCTGAAGGATCATATTTTTGTAGCTAACAGCCTCCCGACTGGCTGACACTTCCAACACGGCAGACCTCAGCATTGACTTAAGTACGAAAAGAACATTTGATCAGTGTCTTATCCTTACTAACCTCAAGGACCGGGACCAAAAAAAAAAAAAAAAAATAAAACCTCATTCGCATCTTGTCTGACCTCATCCACCCCTTCTCAACGGTCGTCTTGGCAACGGAATGGTGAGCCAAAAGTCAGTGGAGCGTCATCAGTGACAAACATGCGAGGCCATACGTCAGTTAAGTGCTGCGTGTATTCAAAGTCATGACTTGCGACCTGCCTGCTTGGATGTACTGTGAAGAAATGAGCAGTGGGGGGGATAAACAGTGTTCAAGTTGTTTTGTAAAAACCATTTTGCAGCTCTAAAGCACAACAGCACGTATGCCCGGTAAATAACAGATTTTTTTTTGGAAACACAAATCCAATTAAGCAGTGAAAACAAATCAAGGTATCCTTTTTCTTTTTCCCTGATACCAAACAATCTTCGTAACTGTATTTTTACACTGATTTAGCTCTTGTTTGATATTGACATTTTACCATTAGGATAAAAATAATGCAGTCCACTGCGAATATAAATCGAAATTAAAAAATGTGATTTAACCCTTTCATGCACCTTGTTGTCCACTGTAGTAACCGCTGTCCCTGAAAGGGTTCATGATTAATTCAAACTCAATTTCAACTTAGGAAACAACACAAATGGAATTAATTGCTTTATTGGTATTGAAGCCAACATCAATTTTTTTTTCCACAAAATTAATTTATAATTAATTCTGACTTACTTTGGTGTACAGTTGTTGAACCCTTTCATGCACCCTGTAACGTGATAACATGATAAGTTGTCCACTGTAGTAACCGCTGTGCCTGAAAGCGTTACTTGGAATATTTGTCTCAATTGAGTTGTAGATACATTTATTAATTTCTCTAAATGCAGTTGTGGGCTGAATTTTCTTTGCTTCTGCTAGCTTTAAATAATCATGTATGCTAATGACAACATTATTTATAGTTTAGTATTAACCACAGCCATAAATGCAATTGTACTAAGAATTGCAATAAGGCTCTAACGCAGTGGTTCTTAACCTTTTTAGAGGTACCGAACCCAACCAGTTAATATGCACATTCACCGAACCCTTCAAGAGTGAAAAATAAATACATATATATTTTTTTACAAATAAAAAAACCCACATTTATTAAAAACAGAAAAAAGTACATTTCAATTTTTAAAAATTGTACGATGTACTATCACGACAGTTACACGTTGACTCCTAAGCGAACTAAATTTCCCACAGCACTGATTGGACAAGCAATGTCATGTGATCATCTGCAGCCAGTGATGGCCAAGCAGGCGTGTCATAACTAATTAACATGTTGAGTCGCGTGTGTCTTACCCTCCATGGCAGAGGCTCCGCCAAACCCCTGAAACCGACTCACCGAACCCCTGGGGTTCGATCGAACCCAGGTTAAGAACCACTGCTCTCATGTCTGCGGACCCTGAATTACAATGCGTTTGGCACCCCTGGGTTATATGTTTTGTATTAAAGAACATGTGCTTTTTACTTCAAGCGTGATTTTGAATTTTGAAGAAATGCTTTTGTTTTTGTGTTAAGGAGCACCTTTGTACACTCTCCAGGCGAGAAAGCCATGGAAGCATATTGATTAAGTTCAATCTATAAATACAACCGACTCTTCAAATAGCAACCTTGCGGTTACCTGCTGTGATACGCCGATTCTCATTACTTCAAGACTCTCCCGCTTCCAATTGATTATTGACTGAAGCGGTGTCTGCAACTTGAAAAAAAATAAAAAATAAAAGTCAGAAAGTCTCACCAAGCACTCCAGTAGCCTGGCTGGCCGAGATATGATGATAAAGAGCTTCTTGACCAACTCGATGACGAAGGTGAGCTCCGAACTCTCTGAGCGCTCGTACGCCTGAAGGCAAATGGAAATGAATGGAGAGTGAGCCAGTTTTGGCCATGTAAGCCAAAGAGAGACGGGAGGCTTTGTTACTGACGTCATGCAGGAGCTTCTCCAAGTTTTCCTGAAGTTCACAGAAGTAAACACTGGTAATGAGACCCTCTCGCGATTTGGTCAGGCAATCTCGAGACAGCTCGGCTATCTGGTGATGGATGAAGCTGAGGACGCCGTCAGCCAGAGGCAGAACGCTCTCTGGGGAGTAGTTGTGGATGAACTCTGCTAGCCTCTCCTCCATCTGAGCTGTGGCCTAGCGGAGGACAACACACTGATTATTCATCTATTGTCCTCAAATTAGTGGGATGATGAATCTCAAAAAGTAACTGTGACTAATCACTCGCCGCAAGAGTAGTTTTCACTGGAAACATTGAAAGCAGGTTGTTGACCAACCTTTCTGAACGTGAGGGTTACTTCTTGGTTAGTGATTCATACAAAGGGTTATAAATTTGACACGCACTTTTGAACAATCAATTTGCAAGCAATTGTTTGAAGGGTAACAATTATTGTAACATCAATGCGGATTTGTTTCCACCTCCGTGGCGTTTCCCATGATATGCTAGCATTAAGCTAGCAGGCTTTCGTTAGGCGACATGTTTTTGTTGAACAATTTGGTGTCCAGAAAATAAAATGGTAAATATAAAATCAGAATCAGAATCATCTTTATTGGCCAAGTATGTAGAACACACAAGGAATTTGTCTCCGGTAGTACAGGCTACACTAGTATCATCATAAAAGGTTGATTGCCTTTTGCTGCTGCTGTGGGTAGATTCAGCAATTATTTTAAGGTTTACAATTATGAACATCTATGTAACTCCCGTTAGCCCATCAATGTTTTGGATGCTGAATTGGTATTCAGCATGCAGACTTGTATGAGATGAAATTATATTGGTTGGTTGAACATTTTGGTGTTTAAATAAACAGTGTTTCATTCTCTTTTGTTTGATGCGTCGGTTTTACAGAAGACCTCCAGTGGGCGTGACAAGCAGCTTGCGGCAAGCATACTTTGGACTCTATTTTTGTGCCTAGCGTAAGTCTAGCGCGAGGTGTGGTCTAAATCTGCACGGAGGCGGTTTAGACCCAGTGTTGGTATGTCTGCAAGGGGATCGACCCCCCCCCCCCCCACCACCCATTTTGCAAGCGTTGTGGATGTGAACACAACCGACTTTATTTTGCATTAATAAAAGCAGCTCCTCTTTCTATGTGCAACTTGCAAGGGGCACACTGACAGTCCTTGACATGGTGGAAAAGGAAAGTCATTTGCTCAAGTCTCGCAGCAAGTCAAGGCGCACAAAGTACACTTAAAAGGAACTGCAAGCAGACCTCCATGGGCAGATGATGTAAAGCTGGGTAAGAAGATCACAGGTCTGTGAAGTGAGCATTTGGAGTCCATTTTCTTCCACCCCGATCTTTCCTACACCCCCCTTTCGCTCTGGCGCAACCAGTGGGCAATTAATTGACTTATCGATGATTCAAAGGACTGTGGTCATATTTTCTAAGTGAAATACGGTGACATCCACCACACATGTTCGCCGAACTCAAAACATCTGCCTGTGCCCCGATCAAAAGTAACCGAATCCCGTTAGACTAGCTGCACCAAAACTTAGATGTCATTCCAACAGGCATAAAGTTGAGATGAATTTCTGCCATCAAAATATCAGATGCACCAAGCGACTGTCAAAGGGCCCACCCTCCGCGCATGGAAATTTCCAGCATGGTGCAGACAGATGAACCATTGGCACTGCACTGGCACAAAAATCAAGACGTGTCAGTTTTTATGATGAAGCGCAGCTGTGCCATCTCCCAAAATAGAGCCTTTTGTCTTTAATTTGAAGGATTGTACGGCCAGAGTGAAAACTGGCACTAGGGAATACTTTACAAAATTAATTTTCATACATTTAAGTGATTTAAGTGGGAGAGGTAAACTATGAAAATATTTTAATAATATTGTATCTCTATGTTGCCTAATTTAACCTCTTGATTGATTATCATAAATGGAAATGAATGGCAAAATGGAGATGCTGTAAGCTGTGGTGCTGTTACGACCACGTTTCCTGGAAAGTCAACAAAAAAGCATGTGGTAAGATATGGTCGTGACGTCACAGAGCAAGTAAATCCAGAACGACAATGATGAAGATTATGTATGCTGGAGGACATTTCGACTTGAACTGGAGGAGGTGGTTCTTCTTTTTAACTTTTGGGCAACAGAACATAGGTCCCTGGTGATTGTCTCTCTCTTGTGGGTTACTTTTACAGAATGTAAGACTTTCTGTTTTTTAACTGACCAACTGAAATAAATGTGAATCTGAGGTTAATTGTAACCACAGGTGTACAGGTGGGAAAAGTTAGTTGCCCTCGTTGGATAAGAGTCAAGGCTCCAGGAATGCCCTTCACCCCTCTTTGACACGTGTACTTTATTTGTAAAAACGGAGTGAGTCAACTCACTGTTCACGTCACAGCTTGTAATGTTTGCTTTTCAAGCCATTTGTGCCTCTGTTCCCTCTGCAGATTTGATTTGTTTTCTTTTCTGCAACCCTCAGGACATCAACATGACACAGTGAATGTGTTTGTTCACAAACAGGAACTAAGGACTTGTTGGCTCCAGAATAGATTTGTGTTCATCGACAGTAAATGTGTGCCACTTTACTAATGCCCATCCGCAGTATATTAAATATGAATTGTTGTTTATTTATTGAAGTCACATGACAGATTTGCTATTTTTAATAGATTCACATTCACATCCATAAAACATTTTCCATCATTATATGACCTACAACCTGCCTGCTTATAACTGCCGTGTGGCTGTGTTCACAACTAACCAATCACAATCAAACTCATGTTAAATCTTTGGTTAGCGCTCAGCACACACCTGCCACCATTAAAAGTGCTTCTGAATTTCACCTATTCTCGTAAATGCTCCTAACATTTTTTTTCCCTTTTAGCGAGAGGCTAAAGCTTTTGTGCAAACAATGACTGCTATTTTCAATTGTTTATAATTTCCTTCACTTCCACATTGTCTAAGGCCCCAGAACCAGCTGAAGAATAATGTTGGGGTTTTTTTTTGTTTGTTTTTAGTTGGGCCTCAGACAACATGGAGGGAATGAAGAAATAGCAGTCACAATTAGCACAAAACATTGAGGCTTCTGCTAGAATAATGAAGGGAAAAGCCGCCTCGCATCCCCGGTTATAAGAAGCTGCGCACACATGCAACGATATCAGGTGCTTCTTTTTACTCACAAGGTATATAGGTCACAATGAAATGGAAAAGCTTTAGGTGGAATGATTTAACAGGTCTGAGTAGATTTTACACCGTATATGCACTGTATAGAGTACTGGTACTTGATTCACTACATTTATGCCATGGTGAATGTCAGTAAACGTGAGTGTGTTTTTATATGGAGCCAAGGCTTTGTCTTGTGTGTGTGTGTGTGTGTGTGTGTGTGTGTGTGTGTGTGTGTGTGTGCGTGCGTGTGTGTGTGTGTGCGCG